AATTTCGACTTCCGTTTTGGGAATCACCAACATTTCCGGTACAAAAACAAATATTCGCTGTAATAAGTTTAAGCAATTTGAAATTTATAGCGGAAAATACATTTGAACTACACCAGGCGAATACCACAAAAAAGTGTACATTGTATGTATGGATGTATAAAATACAAAAAAAAATGTTTAGATCGTATGAAAAAACTGTAATGAAAAAGTTAAAGTAGCATAGTCTCGGAGGGTTTGTTTTGTATTGGTAAGCTTCTCTTGTCAACTTACAAGTCAGATTTAAAACAACTGATAAAATTATTTATCAGATATGTTCATATACATACAATCAAAATTTTAAGGTAACAAAGAATAATAAATGTATTGAAATGATCCTACTGAATGCACTCAATAAAATAACAAATACTTGTTGATATGTGAAAGGAATACCCAGTTCTCATAGAAAGTAGAGGATTTGGAGACTTACTATACCTATCTAACTTAAACATACAGTATGTTCAACTAGAAATCAATCGGCTTAGGTCACTAAAAAAATAAATGATAACTATAAGTCCTTAAAATTAGAAAATAATTATCTATTGCTCTGAAGTAAAAAAATTTCGTGGCACGAGGTTTTTTAACGCATTTTCGTTCGGCAAAGAATAAAATTATTCCCATAAAGAAATCAAGTGTATGTTATCATATAATATCTATCGACTTCATATTTAATTTCTATATATTTTGATACGAAACTTGTATTTTAGAATTAAAAAGTTCTTTCATATATATACAAACAGCTTCCTTTAATCACTTAACCGCTTTAAAGGTTCAAGATTGAAACATTCAATTAACTTAAAACCAACACGAATAAAGTTCAATTCCAGTGATTGACTTTTATAGCCTTGTGTGTTTATCCAAGCAAGAAATCGTCACCACATCCGTTGCCAAGCAACATATCTTTGACACATTTGACAGCTAGCATTGCATTACCAGTGGAAGAAGTGGACAATCAAAGATACTTGTACAAAGAAAAAGTGGAGAAAAAAAAGCGAATGAATAACAAAAAGCAACACTCCCGCAAGTGTCAATGGAATTTCTTGTTATTGTACAGTGGTTTTGTTTTTATTACGTCTTCCACAGCAAGCTTCCTTGCTAGCTTTATTCTGCTGCCCATGTTGGCAACAGTTTTATTGCATTCTCCTGCTGATTGTTGGTGTCAGCAATGTCACTTGACACCCGCAAACTGTGGGGAAAAACTAGACGACATGAAAAAAGAGCGATAGGGCCGGATTAAACATCAACCGTGTGGTGTGGTGTGGGAGGGTTTCCCTTATGTGATTGCGTGCATTTGATTTGCTTATTTGAACTCTTCGCTACGCTGTACTCTTACCGCTTTTTGGGGTTTTTAAGAAAATCAAAGTCATTGTCAGTTTCGCGTAATGGTTCCCAGGGTTAGCACTAACTGATTTTGCTGGTATTTAAATGCCTATGAGTAGATATATATGTATGTTTATGTATATGTATATGTAGACGCTATGTGTATGTTAGTGTTCACTCGTATGTAGTAATTCTCGTGAGACAGTTAAGCCGGGCGAGCTGACAAGCAACTCCAGCTTTCATCGAATTGAAGCATTTGACTGCGTAGGCGTGCCAGACATCGAACGACATGACATGACATGACAAGGCAACATTAAGAAGTGACAAACGTCAAGCAAAGAGATGACTAGGCGATACAATTGCTGTTAGACATGTGATGAAAGTATCCAATTTTTATTAAATATTTCGAGGTTGAATCTGATTTTTGTGAGTTTAAAGGCTTATGAAAAGTTGAGAGGTAAAATACGATTTAACAGAATTCTGTAAAATTAGTCATGGGCAACCAATTGTTGCCTCTGAAAATTTTTATATAATATTTTTAACCCTGCTACTATGTAGGGGTCATTTGATGACGTGTGTTTAACATTATCTTATTTTTTTTTCTGTTGGAAAGTATTCGAAAGTTCTTACTAGTCAGTGCATAAATTGTTGATATAAATTGAATTCAAGTATTTGAAAGGGTCATTTTTTATTACAGGGTTATACACATATTCTGTTGGGGTCATATTATGACCTTTTATCATTTTTGCAAAACTGATAATAAATTTATAATTATATGTATATTTTTTTGAAATTTTTCATCTACGTATGAGGTAAGATATTATAAACTGCAAGTGAGAATCAAGTGTCAGTGCTTTTTGCAACACATGACTCGTAATTATTATGCTGTTATGATTGAAAAAGTAAACAAAGTGTACGTCATAATTTTGATTTTGTTGCCAATGCCTTGGCCAGCGTTTACAGTAAAACCGATTGTGTTCAGTAACAATGAAACGAAATCTTGATGGTTACTTTGAACTGGAGGACGACGAAGGTATATCTTCAGAACAATTAATTTCCAGTGGCGTAGAGGACGTAAGTGCAATGACTTTAACTAACGCCACGGTATTTTTTGATAAAGATCGTCTAATAAGGAGGATAACAACAGCACCTCTTCAATCTCATAGTCGTGCAGAAAACAATTTAATTCGAACAAAAACTCGAGTTACTTCTTATGCTATTCATCGTAAATTCGTGATACTTTTGATTTATGCCTTGCCGAAGCCATGAAAAGGCATATAATTTACTAGCAATTTGCAATTTGCAAGAAAACGCGTCTTCGAATGTTTTCAAGCAATAGATGAAATGGAGTTCGATGCCTCCCTGGGACTTCTTATACTTATTGGCAGTTATTTACATTATTATTATTGTGTTCTATTATCTGTTATAATTACATATGGTATAATGAACATATTGTGCTTTAAGGAGTTTACCAAATATGTTACGGTCCAAGTCCTAATGCTCTATGGGACAAATTTCATGAAAGTCGTTTTTTGAGAGCAATCACGTCTTCGGAGCGATTTAGCATTTGATGATAGGCAAAGCAGAAGATCAGAAGAGAGGGGAAATAAAATTGTCTTCAATTTATATTTGACCCAATTTTCTCGTTTTTGAATGTATCCGGCGGCATTGAAATGTTTTAAAATGGACGTTTTTCGTCTTCCAAGTCAAAATAATCACTTTTGAAATATTGTAACAGTGGAATAATATTTAAGTTACACCATCTCTTGGCGTAACGCGCGAATATAGTTATGGACCCAATAGATAAATTTCACTCGCTATACTTTATTATTTACGTATTACGACTTTACTCGAATAAACTGTTTCTGCTTTTCGTTCTATTTGGCATCTGTTGTGCTATGCTGAATATAAGTTTCACGATTTTGATTTGACTGTGAGACAGTTCCGTTTTTGGTGAAGTAAAAGCCCTCAGAATATTACCTCAATTGAGGCTATTTATATTTACTACGGAGATAGCCGATATTCGTTCTTTTCTACTACCATCGAAGTCAACCAAGTTCAACCGACTCAAGATCACATTAAACACTTTTGCTCCACACAAAATATTAATATTATATTTCGTGTTTTCAACATCGCGTTACAAGTAGGTACGTACAAAAATACAAGAAGATAAATTATTATGTGATAATAATAGTATTCAAAATATGAGCTTGAGTTGAAATCATTTATATTTCCAGTAAGTAGATTTGGAATGAGGATACTCCGCTTTGTAGCCAAAGTAGCCAATGTTCTTCAGATCTTGCATTAGAATCGGTGATAATTTGATGGCGTTGTAGATCGCTTTCTCCAACTCAGCGTATTGATTATGGGATTCGAAGGGCATATGTTCAAAGCTGCACATCAGCACGTTGCCACGTTCATTGCCGAGAGCAAGCGATCGGCCGCATAAGCTCAATCTACGTTTAGAAGATGTTTTAGGTATGAACTACAGATCCAAGCAAAAACTAAATTTTTAAACTTGATAAGAATGTTTTAAGAAAATGTAGTATTTAAATCAATTGAGCTATTATTCTAGCTATTATTTGACAAATTAAATTCTATTTGTGTTTCTAAGAGCGATTTCAGACAAAAGAAATCGTTTTGAGTTGTCATTTATATATATATGTATGTATTTGTACATAAAGAGCTTATAACAAAACTCAAACCCTCTCTAATTTTATTGAACTTTATATAAACAAAAGAAAAATCTATGGTATGAACTTATTAGGAAACTCGTAAATTGAAACATATGCGACCGAAATTTCATCGAAAAAGGCTATATTAAAAATAACTGAGCTCTAAGTGGGTTTGATCCCAGCAAAGATTAGACAAATATATTTTTATACTAGTTAGTGATATTTGGCTATCAATGGTAAACTTAGTGTTAGTCACAGAATATATTAGCCAACAGGAGGGTTAGAACATGTGAGACACACCCACAATTGAAGATGAGATTTAATAAGAAAAAAACCTTATCTTCGGCGCATTTGCTACAGCTCTAATAATATGTAATACTCGTATAACTTAATCTGAAAACCTAACCGTTTAACGGCTTGCATCCAACGGAAAACGTTTTGTAAGTTCTTCTTAGCCATGTTGTTTGTTATTAGCACCCTTCAAGTCGAATAAAGGCTACTTAATAAAAAATCGATATTATATGAAGATCTTTATCTTTATTTAGATCGATCAGTTTATATGGCAGATATATCCTATATTGGTCCGATCTGAACTATATGTTCGAAATATGTATCTAATCAAAGTTTTCGATACAAGAACTGGATTTAGGGTCGATGTTTGTATGACAGCTCTAGTGGTCCTATATCGATGGTTCCGACGTATAAGTAACTTCTTGGGAAGAAAATGACGTGTGCATAACTTCTGATTGATATCTTAAAAACTAAGGGACTAGTTGGCGTATGTACAGACTGTACTCAACTCGCTGATCATTTATATATACATATATATATATATATTATAGGGTCTCCGACGATTCCTTCTGGAAGTTGCAAACTTCGTGGCTATACTATCTTAGAATAGTGTAACCATCGGGTGTTGAAGGTATTGTAATATATCTATATTCTTTTGTTAATTAAAATATTACTCACTTTGCTAATGTATGAAATGAAGAGTCAATATTTGTGGTTGATATGGGGCTCAATAAATTTCGTCGTAAGTCCCATATGTCAATAGTTTCGCGATTGACAGCAATTACAACCGTTGAATGAGTGCGACTCCACATGGCACAATGAACTGGCATATATCGGTCGCAAAGTGTTATTAGAGGCTGAAAAATACCCTCAAGCCAAATGCGAATGGTCCTGGAAATAAACAAAAAATTCAAAACTATAAAAAGAATATAAAAATTTATAAAAAAAAAAAATAAATGAAAAATTATAAAAACTATAAGCATCCCTTTTTAGTTAGCTATGGTTACAAAAAGCATAAAAATACTCAATATTCACTTTATCTTTAGTGCTTTCGTCTATAGTCTATGAACTGAAAATTAAGTCCCCTAGGTTCCTAGTCCCCTAGGCCCTGATTTAATTTACAAAAAATTCCGAACCAGAGTTATAAAATCGCCCAAAAATTCAAAGAGAAATATACCTGAAAGAATTCATGAAGAAAGACTGTTTATAAGGGCGAAGTAGATGAACATGATTATATATCTCAATGTCTTTGCTTTGAACACGGCCTGAAAGTGTAATATCTTGAAAATATTATCTAAAAATTTCAATTTGATCCGATAATTACTTTTTGAGTTATTCGACAAATAACAAAGAGCGTTTGGGCACTTCAAAGCGCTCGGGAGCATGTAGCTAGCGGCAGCTGCAAGAAACTTTAAATGCATTTTTCTCTAAACTAGACTTTTCGAACTAGTGACAACTGTAACTCGAAAACTGCTCAGCACATTTAATGAAATTTATACAGCTTTTAGAATACATAACAAACTCGTGCCTGATCGAAAGATTTTTTTTTTCAACAATTTCGATTTTTTAAGACCAATTAACTGTTGATTTTTCCCCAAAAATCTAGAAAAAAATTTCCTAAGGCCGCCTTTTGTTAATTTTTGATTATGTATTTATAAAATGTTTTTCATCCGATTGATTTTAGATGAATCCCCAAGGACTTATGATTCTCACCGCAAGGACCTTTTTTCGGAACTGGGTCAACACAGACAGCTATAACTTTGGAAGTTTAATTTTTCTGTTTTTTAAATTCTCTTGATTTCAAGTCAAAACATTGTATCATTATGCTGTATTACTACTTTTGTAAAATAACATGATTTAATAGCAAAAAAAAATTACTGAAAATTCTCATTCTTTCGTGCCTCTGACTACCCCTAACCCCTCAAGAGCTGAATTCAATAACAAGCGATGAAGTAAAGTTAAATATTTGCAAAATATACTCGTTTGTTCGAAAACCACACCTAATCTATTTCAAACTTCCTCTACACTCACCAATCATTACCACAGGTTAAAAACAGTTTTGGTGACCAAGGCGAGAAATCCATATGGTTAACTGATCCCTCATGTACCTTCAACATTTCCAAATAATTATGTGTGTGATTCAACGAGCACTTCTGTATGCAACCTTCGTCGGTGAGTATGTAATAGATATCGCTTTGCACGGGGTGCATAACTAGATGCAAACCACTGGCGCTACGACCCGAATTGAGCGACTTTTCTTCATTCATAATAATATTTTTGGTTTGTAAACCCTCAGGAGTGCCTTCGATACGAAGTAGCTCCATCTGACGCATACCCAACAGATACGGGCTCGGTATAATGCGAAATTTCGCTACTTTGCCATCACGAGTAAGTGCTAAAAATGGATCTGCTTCGGCAGCGTTCTCTTGTGTTTGACGGATCCATTGAATAGCTGTAACAGGTTCACAGCTCAATAGAACGCTACGCTGCGAAATCGCAACCGGCGGATAGTCTGGTTTTGTTATGTTCCGCACTTGCACTGTGCCATCGTATAGGCCAATGGCAATGAGAAAAGGTAAAAATGGTGAAAACTCAACTGTTGACACCGGCACTGGATAGTTGTAGATACGTTCCGGGTTTTGTGGATTCTTCATACTCCAAACGCACACGTTACCATTCGGTACGGTTACTTTTGAGGCGTCGGAATAGAAACCATATGCGACGGCTATTAGATCACCATTACCATGACAAAAACTTAGAGCAGCAATAGCTTTACGCCGCTTATCCAAACCACCTTGAAATTTAGGCTGTATCAAGCGATAGAGGAGATTCAGCGAATATTTATAATCAGCATATGCGTCCATTTTAGTGGGTATATTCATGTTGCGATAACGGCGTTGTCCCTGATGATAACAATTGCTAGCCAATATACGTTCCAGTACCATGGCCGCATAGGAAAATTTTGGATTTTTTGCAATTAAATCTAAAACGCCCGGACTAAGTGAGTGGCGTTCGCCGAGTACGGTCGTCGTTTGGAGTAATTGTTGATAGGTATCGAACATTTCGAAAAATGATACATAGGCCGCTTTTTCACTGAACTTCTTAGCAATTGTACTGACAGTGCGCGGTTTCAACAGCACACCAACTGTCTGCGTTTCGGCATCGGAACGCCGACGTACTTTGCCCTTACCTATTGTTAGGTAATCATAAATGCGATTGTCATATTCGACAGCTTCGGCTTCTTCACTGCCTTTCGGTGCTGTAAAACTGTTTTGATTGTATAACACGAATTCTGGCGATTTACGCAAAACCACTTTTATAAAAGGTAACAGTTCTCTCTTGGCAAAAGTAATTTCATGATAATCATGGTAATAATGATGATTTTCGTGAAGCGAACCGCTCGACCCAATTGCTTGTATGATTTCATCCAGTGAAAGCTTCAGACCCAGACGTGTACTGGACTTCGCTTTCACTGAACTCATGCTTATTCTTCGACTATTGAAACTTTGTACGCTGGAACTTTTCGTCATTTGTTTTATAAGATCTTCGGCATAGGTCGCTATACTGCGAAAACGGAGCGTTGATCTCGTATCCGTATCAATGAGCTTGGGTGTGACATCTATAATTCTACCACGTACATTATCCCTAAGTTCTAACGATTGGCGCCAAAGCATTGCATTTTCGATTTCTTTGCTCAGCGCGAAGTTATAAGTGACTCGCGATATGTGGCTTTTTTTCTTTTCGCCGAACTAAAAGTAGAAAATATGAAAATATGTTTTGTAGATTCGTACGTATTCCATACGGTTTTGCGCGACATTGTGGTTTGACTTTCACAGAGAATAAGCGGAAATTAAATCAGTTGATCTTGCAAAAATTCTAAGAAAAAATGTGATGTTTTCAAAATACTTGTATGTACCATATATGATTGATTTTTTTATTTTTGTAAGTGTCACAATACGAAAAAAAAACACTCAGTTATGGAATTGAAAATAACTCAGTCAAATGGAAATAACTCTCGTACTGTCAAATTTTCTGTTTTGAACACATAAATTAATAAAACTTGCAGGCTTACACTTAACTTATTAAAGAAAATCGTCAACTGTAAATAATGTTGTCCGACGCTGGTTGTTATTCAATATATTATCGACTACATAACTACAGGAATAGTTCAGCTTTATTTTATATTCCACACTCTCAAACAATCTTGTGTCCAGGAATGATAAAACTGTGTAAGAAGTTATATTGATGCGAAATCTTATCTTTCTAAAGCTATATAACGTACCCGATCGTAACTATACAACGCAAAAGATTACTAAAGCCAAAATATGAATTTCTTTTTAATTGTATTACAATCTGTTTTTGGATCAGTTTTATCATAAACTGAATCTCAAAGAAATAAATACTTTGAAACATTTTTGGAGAAAATACCAATTCCTATTTTTTGGATAACTCTCAGTGCTTCTCCATTTTATTTAACTGCATTTACCCTTCGCAAACATTCTTTTAGCTGTAGCCACCCTTTCCAATTTTCTCCAACGAATTTTCCATTACAGAGCGACATGGTTGCATGCTGAGTTGCAGCCACCAGCGGAAATGGGTGGAAAAAAGTAAAACTTATAGCGAATCTTACGAAAAGGAGCAATAATCGTCAAGACCGTCAGCAAACGTCAACAACCCGCTTAGAGCAACGTTAAGCCAGCTACTGGGCTGCCAAAATGCATTTTGGGAATTTCTAAAGTAAACAAAATTTTGTGCGGGTTAAGCGTTGCGGATTTGCGCGTTATCGAGTGGAAAGCTTATTCAAATTCTTGTACGTTTTGTTGTTATTATTATATTCACGATTTTTTACAGTGGAGAGACAATGTTTTAAATTGCTTGCAGTAATAGTACTGCGAAATTGTGGAAAATCTTGGCAGAATTATTAATAAATGCCAAGTAAGTAATGCATTCACTTCATTCAATAGACACTACGCAAGGAAAACTCAAAAATTTTCCAATGAGAACAATTTTGCTGCAACACTCTTGCTAATGGCTTCCCGAGTATTATAGGGGTTTTGCGCCAGGCCAAGCACACATTCCGAAAGAGGAACTTACATATGAATACATCAAATAAGTTCACAATATGATTTTAAACGACTGAAAAATGAAGCTAATCTAGATTAGTGCTTCTATAAAGATATTAAATAATTATATAATATTATACAAAATTTGGGTATACGAAAGAACAAACTGAGTATGCGGAACTGAACTAAATTACTTCCGCAAGTATTATATTGTCCGAATCTGGACCTCAGTGACTTTTTCCTATACTCAGAACATAAGAGAATGATCGCTAAAAAAGAAATCGCAGAGACTGAAGTTTATTGTTAATCGAAAATTAATCTTGTTATGGGAAGGTTGGAAGATCGTATCATTCTATATCTTATCTTTATATGCCTATGTCCTCGATGGCACCAATTTTGTCAGTAAAATCAAATTATGTCAAAGAATATGTTTTTCTGCTTCCCCATCCTTTAGGAGGTTCGGCATAGCTTTAGTAAAACATATTCTACAATAAGAAAAAATAAGTTCTTTAATTTTTATATCATGATCTAGATTCGAACCTTCATCTCTCCAACTGATAACGACCAGTACCATTCAGTGCGTTAAGCCATGCAATTTTGTGTAAATATATTACTTTTTAATTTTTCCACATACCGATAAAATTTAAATTGCAAATCAAAATTCAAAATATTTTTATAGCCTTCTAATATTAATTATAATAATATATTACTTTACTAATAACTAATATAATAATATATAATAATAATAATAACTTTTTTTAAATGCCGCCATTTTGTCAAAATTTTGGATTTTTTCGACCGTAAGTCAATGTACCGACAATATTTTCTAGAGATAATTTTGTTTCTTAGGTTTCATACACGGAGAAGGTCGCAATCGCTGCAGCAGTGGAGGATATTTGTTTGCCGCGTGTATTTTGAAAAATATTTAAATTCTCGCTTCAAAAAATTAACTTGACATTTTTAAAATATATACCAATATATATAACCTCAAAATTTTAAAACAATTGATACAGTCGTTTTTTTTTTAATTCTCAAAAATCGCAGCTTTTTTTAGGCTTTCACACTGTGTATTTTTCTTAACAGTGCTCTTAAGCCTCAAGTGATGAACGATAGAACTTTCCAGGCCTTTTTGAGTCGGAAAAATTTCAAGGAATCATATTCACTTTCAGTCTAACGAATAATATCACTCACGACTTAGCTTTTCTTTATAGAATTGCAATCAAAATCACTTATTCAATACTTCGAAGTTTTCGACATAGAAATACATTAAAATATACAAATGTAAATATCCTTTATGTATATGAATATGTCGGTGTCTGCATATATTATATTTCAAATTTATTTACACTTACTTTTAATAATAAATTTCCAACAAACACAAAGTGCCAATCAAATAAATATCTGATGAACTTTAGATAAATGCAATGAATAGCAGAGCTTAAATACATGCATTATGTATATCAGTATGTGTGATTGCTGATTTGTGTTCTAATTTAATAATCGAGGATTACGTTTCATATCTTATTTATTCATTAAAAGGCAACACTTTCGCAATTAAACTGAGTATTTATAATCCCACTAAGTTGCCAGTTAAATTAAATGTTTGCCTAAATATTTAAGTAGTTACATATGTAAACAAACAGTGTCTATTAATACTATGTTCATTAAAATTTAAATAAAGCTAAAAACATCTGTGGAAAGTATAAAAGGCTTGAAAGTATTTTACCTAAACAATGAAAAATAATTTAAAATAAACTTTTAAATCTTGAAAGCATTTAATGCGACACGTGTAGGTGGCAGCGATTTATCAACTAAACTGGATTTGCTGTGGTTGTTATAAGATGAATGTGCTGGTTTGGTACAAGGCCAAGTCAAGTTTTTCGATTAATTCTGTATAACTTATTGGATTGAACTTCAATACTTTTATCGATTATTTGAAGCTCTTACCAATATATTGTATATAAAAATTTACGTATCACGTTTTGTCCGTAGTTAACTTCTAAGCTATTGAACCGATTTTAATCAAATTTAGCACACTGTGCCTAACTTAAAAGATAGAATAGTTTATATCTCAATTAAGTTAAAAGTTAAATATTTTTTTGGTATTTTTCATGTATTCAAAGTTCAAAAAATAAAAGGAGTAAAATGCCAAATGTCGATAAAAAAATTAAACCTTAAAAATCATTTCAAGCATTGAACAAAACAATGGTGTTGCTAAAAAACAAAGGTGTGATAACGAAATCAAGAAAAAACGTTAACTTCGACTGCACCGAAGCTAAAATACTCTTTACATATATAAAAATTCTTTAAAAGAACTTTGCTCAATCAGTTTGTATGGCAGCTATATGTTACAGTGACTCGATCTAAACAATTTGAATAACCCATGACAAATTGGTTATTGGCTAATGTAGTTATGCATATATGTTAGCTGCAATACAAACTGATTGATCAAAGTTTTTGCCAGAAATTTTTGGTATTTGTGAAGGGTATGATAGCTTCGGTGTAGTCGAAGTTTTTTCTTGTTTCATTTCTATTAGTGAGAACCCGCAACGCCTCTGGTTTGCTTTTCCAAGAGGTGAATAACAAAAACAATAACACAAAATCATACTAGATTGCCCGGCCATTGTTAGTTCAGACCAAGGCGAACTGCAGAAGACTAAGAAGAGAGAGAAATGCGATCTGTAAACATACCTTGTGCCTGTATTTGGGACTGTTAGATAGATGCAGCTGAATTTCGAGTAGATCAAGATTCCGGAGTCAGTCTTTTTCGCTTTATTATGAATCAGGATCTTAGAAATACTTCACGTTTGATGTACGCTCGTATATAAGCGACCAAAATAATACTGAAGCACAAAACAACACACAATTTGCACAGCACGCTAAGCTTACTGCTCGGGTTTCCTTCATTTCCACCTCGTGGCTTTGCCATTTGAAAGTGACAATTTGCTAGCAAATATGCGGACAAATTACAAGACACCGTAAAGCAAACATATGCTTAGCTGCAAGTGCAGACAAGCAGTCGAAACACATGTAACCAACTTGTAACACATTACAAAATACTTTTTATCGCGTCACTGCATTACGCCAAGGATAACTGTTTGTTGGCATTCAGGCAGTCGTTAAAGGGTTTACCCAAATGGCATAAATCGATGTTAGCTAACTAATATAGTGACTACGACTTTTAGTAGTAAAACATGATACTGAAATTGCTATCCAAATACTTGCGGTTTGGTCAAGGAAATTTTGCACTTCGACCCAGAAAAAATGCTGCGAGAGTGTACTGAACATAATAGCAGACTTATTGGAAAATTGGAGTTCTAATGGTAGAGAATGATTTCGATGTAATGAAAATCAAACTGGAAAACAGTCATAGATATTGGTATATAGTAAGATTGTAACTAACTTTTTGGCCAAACAACAAACGAGAGTCATCGTTTTGACATTTATCGGTTTTCGAAGATGAGGACGAAATCCACTTGGGAAACGTGTCATGCACCCATTAAAAGTTATTCGCTAAAGGCACTGAAGGCCGTTCCAGGGGAGGCTTATAACAAGTGTATGGATAATTTTATATAGCGTTAGCATGCTTGTATTGGATCAAAGGAGCCTATTTTGAAAACGATAATAAAAAGTTTTTTGTCAGTCCGGATAACACTTTATCAGATGATATTCCTACATAAAGTTCTATTTACAATGACATTGGTGGTGTATTATTGCCTTCAAGTCAAGTTTTTCACCTCAATCCTTACAAGCCGCGGAGAGCATGATTCTAAAGTAGCAAACCAAGTCCAAATGATTATAATTGATGTGTAACGATGTTTTTTCTTGAAGATCTTACCAACAGAGACTTGAAACGGGAGAGGCATTTTTTGAAGTCACAGTTCT